CTCTATCAGTGTTTGCCTTCGTTTCTGTCCATCAAATTAATAAGAGATTTAATTTCTTTCCCATAAATCCTTCGCTGAATCCCTAACTTCTTTGGGTAAAAAAATAATTCTCTCTCTCTCTCTCTCTCTCTCTCTCTCTCTCCGCTCCCCTCCTTCTCTCGTATCCCCTATATATCTACTACAGTATACACGACACAAATCTGTATTTATATAAGTGTTATGAGAGTGAAGCGAAAATATCTATTGTCCTGAAAAAAATAAGTGATTTCTGCTCTCTGACTATAGCTCCGGGTTTTTTGTGCGAGCGTTCACTTCATTGGCTACAAACTAAATGAGAAATGAAAAAACTTTATTTTAACAGAAAATAGCCGTTTTGTTGTGTGTGTGATGTATTGATTGAGTCTCATCTTGTGATCAATTTCTTAACAGCAAATGAAGTCCTTGTGATTACAATTTTATTACATTCTTAGCCTATGGTGTGTAACCCGGGGGACAATTTAACCAGAATTAAGCACTAATTTTGGCCAAACATTTGCCCAAAACATTCCCTTTCTTTCTATCATTTGTTTTATTGTCTGAACATTTGTTTTCATTACAACTTCTTATATTCAATAAGTCCTAATGTCCGTCAAAAACATTTGCTTACTTTTTATTCAGTTTAAGTAATTGTTTTGTGGCATTTAATCTCTTATACACTGAGTTTGTATGTGTTTACTTTTCATGTGAGATGGAATATGTTATATACATGTAAAATAAATAATTAAATGTTGTTTTGTTTGTATTAATATAAGTGGTTTTATTGTTATATAAGTCTCATAATATGTGATATAAAGTGTAATAAAAGTGTCAATTATTTAGTAATTTATTGGTTTGAATCACAGATTTTGATTCATTCGTGAATAGCATTAGACATCAATTTTCTTTCCCAGCAATTCATATGAAATAACTTTTGTTTTTTTGTCAATTGATTTGCACTTCTCAGAAGAATCACTCAATTCTTGTGAAAAAATTCTTGTTTTGTTCATTACGTGACGGGAATTGATTTGTGGCTCACATTTCAACGAAGATTTTTCATTGAAAATAACTTTCATTTATTTGAATGCATTCTTCAAATTCTAATTCATTGCCTCTGTTTTTGAGGCGCTTTTCATTGCTTTCACATTATTTTAAATGAAAAATGCTTTTTAATAAACGCTGGAAAAGCCGATGAAATATCATATTTTTACAACACTTTAACAAAATGTAATTTCATTTTGAATTTAATGCAAAACTTCTGTGAGAATACTGTATACTATTGTTCAAAACATTGCCTTTTGTTTTGATAACATGTATGTTATATTCATAACATATTAATGAACAGAATATAAACATCAGAATTAAATTGAATGAACAAAACAATTCATATGAGACTCATGTTTGACATAACATGAATTGTTAACAAAAATAGTCATTTCATTAATTACCTGATTTTGATCCAAAAGCCTGAATATAGCACTAATAATAAGATATAATCAAAAATCCTTTCATTTCCTATTTTGTACCAAAATTTTGTGACATTTTGTAAAAGATTATGAGAAAATGTGGCAATTATTACACCGAAATACTTATTGAACAAAACTTAGCATTTAGTAAACCTATTTGTGAAATGTTTTCATTAAAACTCATAATTGCTATTATATAATGAATTCATATTTAGTACCGTAGAATAACTGTGTGTAGAGTACAGTACAAACTTTCATTACAATTGGGACTTCAGTAAAGGTTTTGAAATATTGAAAAAATGATTCATTCAAACCATGTTTTCATTTGTTGGAGACTTTTACTGAATTATTATAATATAAAAATAAAGTCCTCTCTCTCTCTCTCTCTCTCCTAATGTATACATATTGTGTGCGAATAATTCTGTTGGGACTCAAATTAAAGATGAAGTCACGCTTCAAACAATATTTATTGGCCTAATATTTAGTTTAATTCTTGGCAGTGGATGTGAATATAATGGCTGCTATAATCCACGGCCGCACTCCTCTCGCACAGCCATACCTTTCATTAATGTATAGTTAGGCCCCAAAAAACATGCATTTATTTTTCACTTGAAAAAACTTTTTATTTAATACAATCGTTGAGTAGTTGTTGAGCTCACTATTAGAGACAAAGGCCCTACACTTTACATAACACTAGTTGTGTACTGACAAGTGAGCGGCCGTTTGCATCCCTGCACATCCCTGTGTGGCACAGAGATCCCGATCCCTCACACCATTGCTATTGTAATGTGAACTAATGCCAGATGTGTCCGAATTTGAATGAGCAGTGCTTTTATATATTTAATGCCCAAAAATTGATGCAAATCCTATGTGTGCTCAACAACATCAACATTCACTCTGTTTCATACCATTCCTCTTCTCTCTACACTGTATTTCCCTTTTTTACTGATACTAATGATGGCTTTGGGCTAAAAACTACACTAAATATATAATAAGAGAGAAAAGAGGAATACATATTGAACTCCAAGTGAACCGAAAATTTTAAATCCAAAGATTTTCATTCGGTTTCCATTCATTCATATGTATTAATCAATTCGAGACTCAATTGATTTTGAAACTTATTTTTATATCTGTTATGAAAATCTGATTAACATTTAGTTTACAGCGAATGACTTGAAGTGTACTTTACTTCAGGTTATATTTAGTATATTTAATAATAAGTAAATTTAGTTTATTTTAAAATATTTATTACAAAAAATCCATATTCTGTGTGCATATAAGATATTCTGCAGACATTTTTACGGTTAAATAGAAATGATTGAGTATTCAATAAATATTTCACATATAAATAATTATTTTATAAATATATTTATTGACACAATTGAGATTAATTTACCTAAAAATATATTATGTAATAATGTATTATTTAAGAGCAACTTTATTTGCAAATAATAAAACAATATTTTATAAAAATAATGCTTTGAAGTCAATAAAATTGATGGAAAAATAATTAATACAAAGCTTTAGTGGAGTAACTAATCCGTGAAAAATGATGACAAAAGAAATATTAAACTTCTGTATTGTATTGTATGGGGTGTTAGGGTTTAAATAACCGTACTGTAGGTTCGGATATATATTTTTGGAAAATATCCGATTATTGCAACAAATTTTTTGATTGAAAACTCAGACATTGATAGCGGGAGAAGGGATGGGAGGATATGCTAGTGATAGACAACGTATTATAAACCCCTGAATGGAAAGGTGACTACAAATGATAAGCTTATGAATCTATTTATATGTTTCTGTAGTTTAAGTGGAATTTGAGATGAAAAATGAATGGCAACTATGTTTGGCTGACTTAACCATCACTCTTATGGTATTTCACTCTTATTAGCCAAATGTCAATCTTTTTTAAAAATTCTGCAAATAAGTCGTTGTGATTAACAAAGCATTTGTGTTGAAAAGACACAGAATATTCTTGAAAACATTGCATTATAAATATTCTGCACAGAGTTTGGTTGGAAATGTATATGGTCTCTGAATTTGATTCTCGTTTAACATTAATTTGCATTAATTCATTAAATACTGTATCAAATCAAATGTTATGAACCAATCATACTCTTTGCTTATCAACTCTCCTCTAATCTCTTATTCATTAAACATTAAAACTCTTATTGCAAACTATAGTAAAGCATAATTTATACAGAATATTAAATTGATATCACTTTTATTAATGATATTTTTGTTGCTCATTAAGAGATAAATAAATCTTTTATTAAATATCAAAATCTATTGACAAAATCATAAGAAAATAGTTTTATATCTTTTAGACTATATGTTAGGCAATAATAAATGAGTTGAACTGTCAGAAGGAGACATTGAATCGACGGTTTCGGCATTTTTTGAATACATGTACAGAAATAAGGAACAAATTATGCGTTCATTATAAGTCACATATACTTTACTTTACTGTTATGTGTATTGATGGCATGATATTTGCATTTGTATTGATATTTACATTTTGATATAGAGTATTTCTTATTTTACAAGAAGTTACTCATATATACTGATATATACTTCTTGTCAGATATAATATTCCCATTTCTTCACTCAAATCTTGAATTTTAAGAAAAATTAAAAGAAAACATATAATAAACAAATTTGTTGTTTATTTAAGTAAGTTTTAGTACATTTCGGGCTGAAAAACTTAATTTAATTTAAAATTGCTCACAAAATATACATAACATGTATTATAAGTAAATGGAAAAATGTAGTTAACGTTTATGTTAAAGAAGTAAATGTGTATTCTTTAAGATTTGTCTTTTTTTTATAGTGGATATAAAATAAACGGCGAACACAACTGTCCTTTTATAGCAATGCTATCATTATTATTATGTACTGAAAACACTCGTTGGGATCAAAGATCTATAACTAAGATCTACTTATCTTTCTTTCTCTGTCTTATTCTCTTCTAATGTCACACAAAATGCTGTCTAAATGTCTATATGTTATAGTCATCTGTCAGTCCATTGATCCCAAGACTCGGGAAAACAATAATTATTAATTTGAGACATAATAAAAATAAATGCTTTTTGAAACAAAAGTTACAAACCATTTCATTTTAATGAGATATCGAGAAAAACATTTGAAATCATTTATCAAAACAAATTTTTAGTTTAATTTGTGAGACAAATCACGAATATTTTGTCACATTTTCGTAAGAATAAGCACTTTTTGCACTTATTTTGTCTACAATTAGTGTATAGTAAGCACTATATTATTCATATGAACATCACTTTCTCCCTTCGCTTCGCTAACAATGAAAATAACAATTTTATTACAATTAATGCTTTCTTTTTCGTAAAGTGTTTTTCTAACAGAATATTAATCGTTATTTTCAATATATATTTATTTATATTATTAAGTGATGTTTTGTCGGTCTATTCACACAATTAGAAATCACTGCCAATTCTTTGAGCAAAAAGAGAAATACCATTCACTCCATCACTGACTGACTGAATGAGTGAATGAATGCATTCAATGGTTTTTTTGTTGCCATAAAAAATTGGCATATTTTCAACGTTTCCTGTTTTTTCTTACGGACAGAAAACTCATTCCTTTTCTTTAATTTGTCGTATTATTGACTCATTGCTTATTCACAAGCAATTTGTATCGATTATATGGGAAACTAATGTCATTTGTTTTGACTATACGTACAGATTGTCTACATTTGCAAATATATCGGGACAGCAAAGAGCGGTGCAAAAACGCCTCAACCAAGTCGTCGCTATCGTTGGACGGATTTCTGGCCCTCGAGAGTGGCTTCACGTTAGATAAAGAAAGCAATACTATTGCCATTATATGCAAAGAATTGATTGTGTTGTTGGCGTTTGACACGCGAGAAGTGCTAATCCAATGGCAGGTGAAGATTAAGGCACATCTCAGCGAAGGTCAGCCACAATTGCAAACGACATAAATTGGATTCAATTGAATTAAATGGCAAACGGAATAAATGATTGCTTCTCTCTCTCTCCCTCTTATTCAGTGCAACAATTTCTCGTCCAAATCACAAATCTTCCGCCTAAGAGTAAACTGAGTGCCGGACCCGCGAGACTACACCTTCAAGACTATGTCTTCTGTCTGGTATCGGCGATACCGCCGCGACTGTTAGGCATTTGGCCCATCAATGAGTTGCGGAGGTTTGGCATTATTGATGGCAAGTTCTGCTTCGAGGGCGGATCCAGTTGTGGCAAAGGTATTGTCCAATAGAGTCTCAATAGTAGTATTATTACATGACTTTCTTTAACTAACAAAAATGTCAAATAATAAGCTTTTTTGTCGAATCAAATGTCGGCTTAACGTAAAAACTTTGAAAAAGAAAATAAACAAATAAGTCTTATGTTAGATGTAATGGTTGTTTAGTCATTAATCTATTGACTTTTCTGTGCTTAAAATGATTTTTCTTAACGAAAATCTGTGCAATAGTTTAAAATATAAATTTCATTAGTATTTTTTTAGTTGTATTATTTGCTTTGAATGCAATTTTATATTAATAGCCCTTTAATATTCTTTTGGGAATTTTAAATCTACTGATATTTATTTTAAAAGTCATGGAAAATATTTATTGTTAACTTAAGCCATATATTACTGTTAGCTATTTGTGAGTAAATAGTTTTATATTAGTCTCGGATCAAACATTTGTACTTTTATATGTAGATTGAGATTCTTTCAAGTATTTTATTTCCAGAATTTATTATATTTTTGTAATGTTATGCCATAGAAAATACTTTCCAATATGTCATTCATTATAATTTAAATAATTTTAAACAAGCTTGATATTTCTCACAGTAAACACTTTATTTAAACCATGATTGCAATAAATTTGCTGTTTTGTTAGATTTTTTATTGATTATTTCAAACGATTCTTGTTTTGTTTGCGCTAAAGAAGTCATTAATCTAACTAAAAATTACCATAAATTTTATATCGTATTCAATCTACAACTAAACTGTAAGCACTAACTATTGATCGCTTAAATCTTTGATATATGATTAAAAAGTCGATTTAGTATTGATTAAACTTAATAATGATATTATGTAAATAATTGCAAAGTTCTCAACATTTATAATTAAACTAAATTAAATATGTGATTAATTATTATAAAACTAATAACATGGTAAATGGTTATGATAGGAGTGGGCGCACATGTATTACACACGAATCAATGCGAAGAATTGGCCAAATGTTTTGAATTAGCACTGAATGGGAAACTTCATGGGAAGCGAAGATTCACGTCAAACAAGAACTCAAGTAAGGAATCGATTGAATATACAGTATATTCTATGCATTCAATGGTCTCAAAGACTCTTTCAATTAAACGATAGAAGAACCAAAACTCACAGATTCTTATGATTCAATGAAAATCATAACAATTTTCTCTCTTTCCCTCACTTTTCATAGCAATTGACGGCTCCGTTAGGATGTCTTTACAACAAACTAAATGCTATAAAAGCTGTGAATGCGGTAGTAATGAGTCGAGTCGTCCGCTGCTTATTAGCTCCAGTTCTGAGAGCAGTGTCTGTGACGCCTGTTCTGAGATAATCAGATTTAACGGTTCCAACGGCTCGAACGCCAACTTCGACAATGAGATTAGTGGCGAAAGCGATGAACACTACTCATCCAATTCGACGTGTTCTACAATATTGAGATGTTCTTCGACTATGAGCTGCACCGGTAGTCAACCATATCTATCGTCATCAGCGGCGAGTGTGGCCGCAGATAATGACTGTTACTTAACGAGCCATTCATCGCAACTATTTAACAACAACTGTGCCCACAATCACTACCCAATGCAGAGCTTATCTAACATAGACTGCAATACATTACCAAAATGCACACAACATGATAAGAATCGGAGCTCATGGGCTCCTTCTCATTGTAGTCAATGCGGTCATCACTATTGCGCTGACATTTACGACACGACCGCTGATGATGTGCTGATGACCACCAAAACACTGCCAAACAATACACTGTCGGCTATAAACTTATCGGACTTGCGATCGATCTCTCCCTCGTCTATGAGAGGCTGTTTGCGACACAATAACCACAACTGTATTCACAATATCAATGGCATTACGGGTATTAAAAATGGTTCGTCTATTCTTCCAGACCGGGCGTCGCTCTGCTCTCAGAGCTCCCATAGTTCTGGTGCCAGTAATAGCAGCAATAATAGCAGCGGTTCCCACAGTAGCGGCCATTCATGTCATTGCAATGCAGAATATTCTGTGCCCAGACGTCAACTCCAACCGCCGCTCATCGAAGACATGCTTTACGACAAACCCAAGAATTTTCAGCACAAGATCTGCAATATTGTGAACAAAAGGGAACAAATGGCTCTTTGCAGCTGTCAATTGGATCAGTTGGATGTCTCCAATAGAAACACAATCGCTAATAATCACAACCAAAAGATTATCTCAAATGCAAAGTCAATGAATGGTTCGTTTGAATCGTCTTCTCATCACAAGTCTATTATGTTATTAAAGGATTCAAATCGTGTAAAGTGTCAGCAAATTGAAGATTTTGGGGAACAGTATTATTCGGTTCCCCGAACAGCGCTCACAAACATTTACTTAAAGGTATTTTTCTAATTAATTACTAAAACTAATTGCTATTTTACTATTTATTTTCGCGAGCAATCACTTCATTTGTAACCCATTTAATGGCCTTTTATTTTAATGCTGTGTTTAAAACTCTTTTCCCACTTTTATCTCAATTAAATGCTTGTCTGAAATGGTTTAATGCTTTTAGTGTCACAACAAAAGTGATTAAAATTTTTGCTTTTCTTTTTAATTAATAATAATTTCTGAGTTTAAAATCTAAAAACAAACACAAATTCAATTTTAGCATTAATTTCTAATATTTTAAAATATAATTAATTTTTAAGGAACTGAAAGCATCGCAAAACTGTTTGTCTGACAATACCATCAAAAACAAAGAGAATTTTGGAGAGGAGTACGACATTCCCCGTAAATATCAAGTAATGTCTACTTATATTTGTCTTGTATTTTGCGTTTATTTGTTAAATCTTTGGCTAATAAAAAATTACATTTCGATTTTGTGAACACTTATAATAGGAATCAATGAATCAGTCGATGAATGGATGCCATATTCCTTGCAATTGTTCGCGTTTTATGTCTTCAACAGCGCTTCAAAGACAGAGTAATTCATTGATTGAATTCAATGCCGGCATTGCCTCCCATTCCGATGCGTTTAATGATAGAAACACAACCTTTAATAACAATACAGTGCTTACGAATAATTCTTATCCGATGTCTGCAAACGCTATCAATCAATGTATGTTTAGCTGCCGTCAGAGTACTACTGGTCCACACAATCAACCCATAGATTCTTCGCTATTAACTCCATTAGGAGTGCAAAATGTGTCGTCAATTAGCCGACAAAATGAGTGCAAATCTGATATTCAGTTTGCAGTGAATGGTTGTTGTAATCGTACGGAAAGATTGGGAGTCAATAAAGTTTTGGATAAGAATTACATTATTAGAGATACGGATGAGAATGAATGCGGCGATTGTGTGATGAGAGCTAATGTACACAACAAATGCAATGAATTGAATAATTGTGTTTTAAAAGCAAAACAGTTAACAAGTGTTCAAAAAGATAATTATGTGAACATAGAGTTCATACAATCGATACCACTTTACGAGAATATTGAATGCATTCAAAGCAAAGAACTCATAATTGATGCCAGAATTAAAGAGCCCCTAAAAGAGCCATTGGCTGATCGTAAGCACCAGAATCATAGTCACTATAACTATGAGATTATGTCAGAGCTTAACAACAAGAATCTCATAGAAAAATCAATAAACACGACGACTGAAAGCAAACCGATTGATAACTATATGTTTATGCGTCCGAATGTGACAAACAAGACATCTATAGACGAGTCAAACGCCACGGAATCGATTGGCAATAATATTTCAAACAATCCGTCGATTCAGCAATTATTTGATTCAATAAATTCAAATAAAAACAAAAACCCTTCGCATAAGTCGAGTGGCATTAATGGCATACAGTTTGCGGCTATCAATGAAGTGAATGAAAAATTATCATATCGTCAGCGATCCAACTCATCAGAGAGGAAGATTGAACACAATTTTTGCATATCTCTGCCAAACGCGTTGTCGTGTCCGCCATCGCCCGCACCACTCAAAGCCAGAACCAGTTATTCATTGCAAAAGAGCCAACAATTTCTCAGTATTTCAAAATTTTTGTATAAATCAAAAGAGAAATCGTTTAGTATCGACGACTTATGGACGACAACGTTATCTCAACCCCACAACCATTACTTAAAGTTAGGCCTCAAAATAGCGTCCCATAAATCTGCCGATTGTCTAAAACAACGGCTCGAAGACTATCGCTCATCGGAAGAGGATTTATGCACCAGTAGTCAAATCACTGTTCTCTGCGCCAGTCCTCAGCGTCAGCCGT